TTTATTACAAATAAAGAAATTTATTTTTCAATTTATCTTAATTCATATAAATTCTCATTAAAAATCTATTTACTTTTTATTTCTTAATTCAAATATTTTTAATAAAAACTAATTTAACATTTATACAAGAATTCAGAATAATTATTATCAAAAATAACTAATTGTAATAGATTAGAAATTAATTCATAGAGAGACAGTCGATTTTATGAAATTTATTAAATCGTTCGATAGTCAAATTTAAATCTTTCAAATGACTAAAATAGATTATTTTTAATGTTTTTTTTTCTTTTTTACAATAAGAATAAGAATAAACAATCTTCAACTTACAAATGATTATCATTTTATATCTTTGTTTATTTTCTCATGAAAATTTTTCTTTCTTTCGGATAAAATCCTTCAAAGATAAATATAATAAAACAATGTCAAAAGCTGAGAGATAATGTAAAAACATTTAGTCGAGGATCTGTTACTTTAATTATATATTATCGAAAGAATTCAAACAATAAGAAAATAAACTATTTTATAGGCGAACCTGTTCTTATGTTCTTATCGACAATATAGAATGAGCTAATGTTTGAATTTTCAAAAGAAATTTTTGTAGAAACAATCAGATCAAGATTGAGGGTGTGGGTATGGGTTAATATAAAGGAATCAAATACACACTCACACCCTATATTTAAATTTAGGTAACTTAGACTTCTTATTTCTTTATATATTATGTATCACTTTGTAGCTTGGAAAATTCTCTATTGAATGGTGTATAATAAACGGGGTTTTATTCGACTGTAATAGGAAAGTTTCTTACGAGAACAGCGCTATATCGTTTTTTTTCAATAACTCAACAATGGTTCGTCCAACTAGGCTGATCTTCGAACTCGATCGAGATATTTATGAGACTAAACTGTGTAGAAAAAAATTCGTCACAATCTGACACTCCTTTCCAAAGTTATCGCAGAAACGAATGGACACACTGACTGATTCTATAAGTGTACTCACTTTTTCAGTACACTCATAATAAAAACAACGATTTCTTGATTAGATAAAATTCAGTTGGACATTTCTTATATCTTCTTTGATGTGTTTTATTTTTACTATTATTATTTTATTTTGTGATAAATTTTAGCAAAACAAAGCAAACCAAGTTAATGTATGTTCGAAGAATGTAACTGTCTAATGATTCTTACTCATAATAATTGTAAAGATTAATGATAAAAACGAACAATAGATGGTCATGCGTCAATGCAAAAGAATACTTATCTGCCTATACTTAATTTATTTGACGTAAATAACGATAAATAGAAAAAATATATGAATAATACAGGTTACAAAGTATTAACTGAATGCAATTTAAATCTATATATAAATCATATTTATTTAGAAGCAATAAAACGTTTATTTAGTTTATCTTAACAAACGTATCAATTATTTTTTGATTTAAATATATTTGTCTAAGGTAAAAATTATTAAATATTGATATTATTAGATAAATTCTTGTGATGAAATTCTTGTGGGTATTATATGTTGAACTATTAATATTATTATCAACAACTAATGCAATTTCTAATATTACAGCGTGTAATTCTCTCGGTAAATTATTTTAATATAAAAATATTTCAAAATAAATAATTAGTTTTTTATTAACTTTGAAATTAATGTATATGTTAAAGTAGAAAATTACTGATAATGAACAGATAGATAATTTATTTCAAAAGTATTGTTATAATAGATATTTAATATAGGAATTTTTTTTTATTAAAACTTTATACTTTCATATAGTTCAATAGAAGGATAGGTTAGAAGTTGAAAATGAAGTTAAAACAGTTATTTTTAATATAACAGAATTTAATTATATGTATTATAAAATAAATTTTTCTTTTATTTATAGGACAAATTGACAAAAACAAGATTTTAAGTATTTGTCAAAAGATCAAAAATAATATTAGTCCGAATTCTCATGTATACTATCCACCCAGTTTGAACTATTATAATAATACTTATCACTATAGTATTAGTTCAACTAATTTATCAGTCTGTAGTGTTGTACCTTGTACAACTGAAGATGTGTCGATTATTGTAAGTAAATTCGATTCTTTCTTTGTTATTGTTAAACAATAAAGATATAAATATAGAAAATTTTAGATAAAAATAATTGGAGAAAATCGAGTTCCATTTGCTATTAAGAGCGGTGGACATAGTTTAAATCCTGGATTTAGTTCAACAGGAGGTATTCATATTTCTATGCAATGTTTTAACAATGTTACTTATAATCCGAATGATGAAACTGTTGATGTCGGTCCCGGATTAGTTTGGGATGATGTTTATAAACAATTACAATCATACAATGTGAGTGTTCTTGGTGGTCGAGTTAGTGGTGTTGGTGTTGGTGGATTTCTTCTTGGTGGTGGTTATGGATGGAAATCAAGTCAAGATGGTCTTGGTATTGATAATATAGTGGAATATGAAGTAAATATTTTGATTTTCTATAGAAAAACTGAAAACTTATTTTAAACATGTTTTTCTTAATTAATAAAGTTAGTAACTCCAAATGGTACAATTATAAATGTTAATAATCAAACATATCCCGATTTATTTTTTGGTCTTAAAGGTGGTTTAAATAATTTTGGTATTGTTACTAATTTTAAAATGCGTGCGTTATCACAAACTCTGGTTTATGGTGGTGTACTTATATATCTTAAACCAAAAATAGATGATGTAATAAATGCTGTTGTTAACTTTCAAAAAACTAATCAAGATCCAAAAGCTCAAATTTTATGTGATTTCACCAGTATTTTGGGTGTGTTTGCTATGAATATAAATATATTCTATGATGCTCCAATAGCTCCACCAAATACATTCGACGTATTTACATCTATCCTCCATGAGGGTGAACTAGAAACTCAGTCATATTTGTCTTTTGTTCAAGCAGTACCGGTTTTTATTTCAGCAAATATGCGGTAAGTCATAATTACTGCGATATATTTTTGTTATACTATTATTCATATATCGTTTTCTTTCTTCTTCTCTCTTTTCTTACAGATATCATTTATATATGGAATTTTTTTCTCTTCTCTTTCTCTTCTTAAATTTTCCAAACATTTTCTTGTGATATTGTTCAGGTATTCTTTCTTATCAGTTCCATTGCATTTTTCTTCATATATTTAGTATATATTTTTGATCGTTTGAAAAGTAAAACAGACATTTTAGTTTCGGTCAGTGAGATCGACTTTCCCGTTAACAGTTTCATAGTAGATATCTATTCAATGAGAGAACAATAGGAATATAATAATATCAATACGGTATTGTTACATCCCTATTGAGCTGTTAAGGCACGTCTGTTTAAAACGTGACAATAGAAAAATCATATTTTGTTATAATTGATACTGTATTGCAATTTTTATTAAATAGAATTCTATGATAGAGAATCATAACTTCTTAAGAATAGTGAACTTAATTAGTAACTGATTAGGAAGAAATCGAGAAGGGATGAATACTTTAATTGATCAATTTGGAACGAATCGGGAGGATCCTGAAAAAAGCTCGTATTAAGCAATTCTTAAATAGGTTTATTCAAAAAAATTAAATGTATCCATAATTTATTATTGTAGTGGTCGATTTCATACTGTATCAGTTAGAAATATCAGCAAAGCATTAATGGAAAAAGTACGAGATCTATATATTAATTATACCTTACCAATTATTCCATCTACACAAACTGTGGTTACTTTTTCTGTTGAACCATTTCTATCATCTTATTTGAATAAATCCCAAGGTGGTGCATATCCTCATTCACCATCTAATCCACTCTTTCTCATATGTCTTCAATTTGGTTGGATATTAGAATCATCTGATCAATTTTTTATTAATGCTATTCAAACAGTGGCAAAAGCTCTTTTACAAACAGCAATTGAAGATAGCCAAGATCTTGAGGGTTTAGAAGAAATTCTTTATCCAAATTATGCACTTATTGATACTCCGTTAACAAAAATGTATGGAAGTAATGTTGATCGATTAAAGTCTATTCGTCAACAAGTGGATCCAAACGGTGTTATGTGTCTTACTGGAGGATTTAGATTTTAATTAGATAATATTCACACATTAAACATTTTCCATAAACTATTTTCAATATTTAAAATCTATTCAAACTAAATAAGAATAATTAATATAAAACTTTAGATTTTTGATAATAAATTTCTTGATTTTAAGTATTTCTTGATTTAGTTCTGAAAATAATAAATTTTGAATAAATTTGTAAATATATTTCTATCGAGGGTGTGGATGTGGGTGCGAAAAGAAGAAGGAATTAACAACCACATCCACACCCACCTACAATCGCACCCACCCACACCCACACCCTCAAGATGGTTTTTACAAGTTTACTTTATTTTTAGTAAAACGAATAGAAGGATGACAAAAGGAGATGCAAAGTGCGCCCATGTATTATACTTCACTCGTTCTTTATTGATATCTGTACTCTTTTTTTTCTATTCGTGAATGACGATATTTACAGCAACTTCAATGTATGAGTTATTTTGTTAGAGTAAAATTCATGTGATGATTAAACAACAGTGTAACATATGACAGGAAGAAGGAGAAGAAGAAAAAACATTTGCTAAAATAACTGTGTGTCTCTTTCTTCGCACAGTCATTCAGTAGAAGCATGATCCATGTATTGGCATACTTTGACAATGACGCAAGTGAAAGCAAGAGAAAATTTGAAAGTTTAGCAACAAAACAAAAATTGTTGTTAGCTTGTTTTGTTTAATTCACTCGTGAAGGTTGTTGTCAACGAATATTTTTTTGTTAATCTTTTCTTCTTTTGTTCTCTAAAATATTGTATTTTTGTTTGACACTAGATGACGTTTGTTCTTGAGTGTTAATAAAAGCGTCAAACATTTTGCGTCTTTAAAAAATTTACAAAAAAAAATGATTGCCTATATAAGTAGAAGAGAAATTGGTTCTATTTATTCAAACAAAAATTATAGTTATATTAAAGTCGATATTCACAATCATTTACTTACAACCATTCTAGAAGATTTTGAAACTGTGAAACATGGTGAATGTCACATCACACGATTCTGTCCAATCAACACCATGCATAGCACAAAATTATGTAATTGTATGGGTCAATAACAATGTCCACACGACAAAAAAGGAGTGCCAAAACATTTTAACTCAATTGAAAAGCATCATCAATGATGTCACGCTATGTACTCGGCCTGATCAATGTATGCAGATTCTCAACATTGACAATGAGCAAAAGGCTTTTGTTATTGGCTCAGAATTATTAGATAAAAACCTTGCTTCCAAGATTCATTCGATGCCGACGTTGAATGGTATCTATATTTTATGTGACGATGAATCGCGTCGTGAAGAATGGATCCAAAAATGGAGTAAAATCAAAGGAGTATTTACAAATATCGAACATCTGTGCGAAGCACTACAGTTAGATGTTAAGCAGTGTGATCAGGATAGTATTGGTGTGAGCTTTGTCACAATTAATGATGGAGTTTCTACTGATAACTCGAATCAGTTAGGATTCTCGTTTATGTATAGTCAAATCTTCAAAGAAATTATTCTTGAATTAGATCATGATATGAAATCAATCACAGACTTGGCAGTGTATTGTCGCCAATTTTATCTCGGTAATATAAATCAATTAAAAATCATTGATGAATTTGAGCATGATTATCGTTCACAATCAGCGATTTGGTGGTATACTCGTAAATGCTTTATTTACCGAATGTTGAATCATGCATTTCGTACACTGAATGCCGATACTCTTGTTAACATGGGATTTTTCATTCGTGATTTACATCAACAAATTGAGCAACTCTACCTACAACAGATTAATGATCGTGGCGGAAAACCTTTTCTAGTTTACCATGGACAAGGTCTATTGAAAACAGATTTTGAAAAGTTATTGAAAACAAAATGTGGTTTCATGTTTTTTCATAACTTTATTTTTGCCAGTACAAAACAAGAAGCTGCTTTGAAATTCGCCCGAGGTTCAATAGGGAAAACGGACATGATTGGGATACTTTTCGTAATATCCATTGATCCTCGAGTTTTATCATCACCGTTCGCCTCAATTGAAGAAGTCAGTTATTCCAAAAGAGAAAAAGAAATTCTCTTCTCTATACACACGGTATTTCGTGTCGGTACAGTTAAACAGATAGACAAGAACAATCAGTTGTACCATGTAGAACTTCAACTTGTCGCTAATGATGATGAACAACTTCGTGCTCTTACAAAACCTATTGGAGAAGAGACATCGTGTAATACAGGATGGCAACGATTATGTACTTTATTACTTTCAACAGGTCAACTTGAAAAAGCTGAAGAATTATGTAAAGCATTACTCGAACAAACATCTGATCCAAATGAGAAAGCACTCTACTATCATCAGCTTGGATTAATCAATCAGAATCAAGGTAATTACAAAAAGTCTATTCGATATTACGAACAAGGACTTGAAATCTATCGAAAAATACTTCCAGCAAATCATCATAATTTGGCAATTTCGTACAATAACATTGGTCTAGTGTATGATAACATAGGAGAATATGAGAAAGCACTTTCTTTTTATGAACAAGCAATAGAAATTTATCAAACAAATCTTCCTGCAGATTATCCTTCATTAGCTACTTCGTATAATAATAGTGGTTTGGTATATGATAGTATGGGAAACTATTCTCAAGCACTTTCATTTTATCAAGAAGCATTTGATATTGAACTAAAAACTCTTCCATCAGATCATCCTCTATTGGCTGCTACTTGTGATAATATCGGTGGTGTATATAATAATATGGGAGAGTATACGAAAGCACTTTTATTTAATAATCAAGCACTTGAAATCTATAAAAAAAATCTTCCTGAAAATCATCTTAATTTGGCTCAATCTTATAATAATATTGCTTGTGTTCATCACAATATGAAAGAATATTCAACGGCACTCTCATATTTCGAACGTGCTCTAAGTATATGGCAACCTTTACTACCTCCAACTCATCCTCAACTGATTAATGTGGAGAAAAGTATTGAAATTTTAAAAGAGAAACTCTAAATAACATTTAATAAATAAAAAATGTTGGACATTTGGATGAAACAATTCTGTTGTTAGTTGCTAGCACATATTACTGAGTGTATAATGATGAAATAATCATTACAATGTATTTTGATTCATTAATAAATGATTTATTAATAGTTGACTTTATTTTTGGAGGAATTCTAATTGATTTCAATATTTTCCAAAAATTATATGAACTATTAATATTTACTTATGAGAAGATGTAGGATGATTAAATAAAATTGTTATATCCACATGCACTCTTATCTAACATAATTCAATTCTTTTTCTATAATAGTAACATTTGATGTTGTAGTACTGCAATTATATATTTCGAAATAAATTAATTATTTTTTCTATTTTCCAAAAAATTCTGCAATTATTATTATCGATTTTTCAAGATAAAGTCTTTTGAAAAGATTCACGTCAGTATAATCAATATATCTATTGATACTTATAGAAATTAAAAGTACCATTAATAAAGTCAATAATATTATCTTTTTTAATCCTAGAAAATCATTGAATAAATACTTAATAACCATATAAACTACTATAGAACTCCATAAATTTAAAACATATCATGATGATTACAGTTATATTGAAATTTCTCTTCATATTAATCTTTATTCAACACGATCAAAATAAATTGTGGTTGTCGAATTCGATCATATATTTATAAATATCTTTTTCTATTCATTAAATTGAATATGTATTGATATGAAATCAAATATTAAAGAAGAAAACCTAAATGATTTCTTGATTATTTTTGTTTCTATAATGTATATTAACAAATATTTTTAATGTGTATCAATTTTGCACTCGAATCAAAAGTACTAATAAAGAATGATTTAAAAATCGATCTGATCTTCGTCGTATTATTTAAGTATTGTAAAATGACATGAATATCAAGGTATATGATATGTAAATATTGTATGTGATCAGTGATAATTTAAAATAAGATAAATGTTTTGATTAGATTTTGTTCTAAATATTTTTCTAATATGAATGAATAATATGACTAAGGTATAAACACCCACTCTCTCTCTCTTTCTCTCTTTCTCTTTAAGTATATTTTCATATGAATAAAAAGTAAGAGAACTAAATATCTACGCACATAGATTTCGATTCTTTTTATTTGCTTCCATATATGTACATCGTCCACGATTTAATATCGTCATCCTGAGTAAGCGATTCTTTCAAGGAGAGGAGAACAAAAAATCAATATGTATGAATAATTCTTTAGAAAAGCAAAAACCCTATAAAAGGTAACGACAAAATGTGAATAGAACATTGAAACTTGTTTTTATACACTTTTTCTTCTTGTTATTATACAATGCATATCGCATTTGCAGGTAAATTTCGTTTTATTTTGTTTTTTCGAAACTCTTATTAAATACTCATTATTATTTGTTTAGTATTTTTTGTTTTAATTCCTTATGTTGTTAGTTATCCATCATTACGTGAAGTTTCCGCAATAAATGATGAAGATAATAATAACGATTTAGAATTAGAACTTCGTTCAATTTTAAATCATCTTGATAATGAAAAAGAAGAACGAACTCTTACATCAGGTTAGAACAAATATAATTAATATTATTATTTTTATTTTCATTAATTTATATTTTAGTTGAAGATGATTCGGATGAAAATGAAAATGAAATGATTAAACGACAAGGTGGTTATAATATGATTAAACCAGATCTTAAATGTGAAATTGAATGTGTTGGAAATATGCGAGATCCAACTTCAGATCAAATCAAAATGTCAATTAAAGATGCAACCAAGATTTGCAAAAATATCTGTACGAAAACAAATAAAAAACGTGAACAAAAAATAAGTTTTGAACAACGAAAAGAAGAAAATCATGAAAAGAATTTACGAGAATTTACTGATGATGATGATGAAAATAGCAATAGCAATGAAAAACAACTTAGACAATTTTCAGATTATCTTATGGAACAATTACAACTTAATCATAAACAATAAATACATTTCAGAAATTAATACAATAGAAACATTTTTCTAATTATCAATGAAATATCTCGTGAAATATACATCACTTTTTCTTTTTTTGTTTTCTCAAAAGATTTTTATTGCATCATTTATTTCTTTACACACATATATATATATATACTGACATTTATCATAATTGAGTTAGTCATTGCTTTTTTTTCTTCTAAATGTGAAGTATATAGAGAATCATTAATAAATATCAAATACCTTTCAATCTAACAAGTATATGCAAACTACAACATTAAAGATAAATATTATAGTTTTATTAATATTGATAATGGAAATTAACACAATCTCTCTCTCTAATACTCATATCTACATAGTACAAGTTTACAAAATAAAACTCTCCATCAGTTTTGTTTTACTCATTGACATTAGAGAGAGAAAAAACAATTCATAAAACGTCCTTAACATTATTCATGTGAAATAAAAATATGAAATGAATGAAAACTAATCGGAATGAAATTGAAGTCTATTAATCTATATTATGCTGTACTTCATATATCGTTCACAAAGTTTATAGATATCTTCTTCAACTAATGCTAATTTAGTATGATAACAGTTGAACATCTGATTTATTTTTAAATTTTAAGATGATTATTTTGTAGAGAATATTCATCTATACATGAGATTTTGAGTTTTATTCTAAGCTACTTATTGAAATCTTATCTCTTTTCTTAATTTAAAAAGTGTCTCAAAAAAATTTTTTTCCAAACGAAGTATAAATGACTAACCAAGATTTCGATTTGTTATGTTCAGCGATTGTTATACGTGTTTCTTTCATCGAATTTATTTTCTCTCTCAGTAATTAATTAATTAATTATCATTTGTTTATTTTTTAATTAGTTTTCGTTCGATATTTTATTCTTGTATCCATAAAAACTGATATTCTATACTTGACTTCATGTTAAGGAGATTCATAACAATGTTTTTAAACAATAGAGATCATCATAAAGAAAAATTGTTTTTCTGTTATCAAAATTTGATCTAGTTGTACCCCCCCCCCCCATCTTCTCATTCTCTCGTACATATGTTCTTGCTTCCTATGTTGATTAATAAAAAAAGAAGAATTCTAGTTTGAAGTAAATGCATTAATAAGGATTATTAAAGATCTACTATTAGTTTTAAAATTATAATAGGTATTCAATGATTCAACATTTATTTGAAATTTATAAAATTACATAATGTAACTGTTCGAGTTGAAGATATTATTGAATGTCATTTATCATAATGGATCGAACGATGAATTACTTATTCGAGATGAAAGCGATTACGTCATGCTATACAATCATTTGTCAAACATCAATGTAGATCATTTATATATAATCAAAGAGTATATTAATAGTCTATAGATCCTTTCTACGTACAGCTCGATTGATCAATCGATAAAGAAATGAGTCATTTGTATATCGTTGATATTAATCTGGATATTGATTTTAATTTAATTTTAAAAAGTTTTTTTTGATTTAGCCTTAATATAATATATCTAATGATTTATTTTTCCGATAACGCTAAGATTTATTCAATGATATATTTAACATTAATTGACTACTAATACAATGAACTGTGGGCAATTTAACAATTTCAAGAAAAACATATCTGTTTTACTAATTTAATAAATAACTGAATATTTTATACCTACATCGTCATTAAAATTCCAAGTTGACAATAGAAAACATATATGCCATTAGTTTACTTAAATATATTAGTAGGAAAAAATAGAAATGATTCATTCTATATTTATTCTCAAAAGATAAATAGAAAACAACTGTCTTCATATTTTCTATGTGAGTCAATTAATTGATTTGAAATATTTACATTTACTTAATTCAATTATCTATGGAGAGAAAAAATAATTTTTAATTAATACAACAAATAAAACGATCAGTGAAGAAACCTATGAATAACTATCATAGATATGATTTTGTTGATCAGTAGGAAAATCTATAGATTTTCTCAAAATATGAGTATAGATGAAGATTAGTGATCTTGAGAGAAATTCATTGTCTTCTCTATTTTTTGATGATTTCCTATCAGAATGAATATAGAAAAGTAAAAGTATCTTCTAATACTAATGCAATTAATATAATTACAAGTTATTATTCAGTGTTTTATTTTCTTCAATTGATATAACTAAGATTTTGATGAATATTAACAATGTAAAATTTTCTTATTGATAAGATCATTTCTAAAATTTGTTTGTTAAGATTCATTGAAAATGAAAGTATTTCTCATGAACATGACAATTTTAGTTTGATGATGAATAGATTTCTATTTAACTATAAATATCTTGTTAGTAAACACGTTTATTCGAATAGAAATCAAAATTGAGATAAATTATAAATTATTAATAAGAAAAAAAGTAACGTCAAGGATATAAAATATGTACGCAATAGTTACGATCTTTGATGTTTTTTCTATTACGTTAATGTTATGCATTACTATAGATAATATCCAAACGTTTTTTTTTCGTATCATTAACATATCTAGATATGAATTTAATGTACATTAAATATCTTTTGAAGCACATTGACGATTGAAAACAAAAATAAAAAATAGCATAACAACGTACGAATGTCAAAAAATCATATGAATAATTATTCTTACTTGTTACGGTTAATTCAAGATTGTTAAGAATGAATAAACGATGCTAATTAACTTTCTTTTTTTTTATTCTTTATACTGACGAATAAATAGAAATTAGAAAAATAAAACTAACATTTCTATTTAAAATATTTTCGAAAATCTCAAAATGATTTTTCTATATAAATATATATATATATTCATGAGACGAAAAGAAATACTTTACATAATTTTGCAGTGAACGAAAAATATTTTATTCGTTTATTGCAGAACGAAAGATAAAATGTATATGTTTCTTTTCTTGTATGTATATATATTTTAAACATGAAATGTCCTTCCAACTAGATATTTTTTCACTCATTGTCATCAAGGTTTGTCTAGAGTAGTCATATAAATAGTTGACAATAACGTCTCAATATGACTTTCATCAATGATTTCCATCTTAGTCTACAAATAGAAATTATACAAACATTTTTTTTTTCGAGATTTTCTTAATGAAGAATAATGTTATTTTTATAGATCATAAATCATATAGAATTCAACTGAAATATTACAGAGAAGATTGTGAGAAAGTAAAATCGACTCTTTCCTTTTTGTTTCTCATCTTGTTAAATCACTTGTAATTCTGATTTTTGATAAATGTTTGTATTTTAGAGTTTGATCAATAAATATGTCCGTGTTACAAGATGAAACATATGGACAAAATCTTCTTGCGTATTGTGATATGTGTTATGCTGTATTTGATTCTGAAAAAGAATTACATTATAAATGTTCATCATGTTATGATTATATTGTTTGTTCCAAATGTTTTCCTTTAACAAAAGTAAAACATTCACCACTTCATACATTTGTACCAATAATTGGACTTCCAAATGAATTTGCATGGGTTCAAAATAATATTGGAATTAGATGTGATCGTTGTTTTCGAACTGATTTTCCAGGTCGTCGTTATAAATGTACTGTTTGTACTGATTATGATGTATGTGAAGAATGTTTTCCATTTGTTAATAAATCTCATGAACTTAAATTAGCACCAAATTCAGTTAAAGCTAAATTAAATCATACATTATTGGCTCGACGTGCTGTAGCTCTACTCAGTAATCCTGATTCACCTTATTATGGACATCCATATGATGTTCTTACTGATTTGTCATTAACTAAAGCACGTACTCTAGTCAATGAAAATCAAAATAAACAACCTTTAGATAACAAACTTATTCTTGAAGATCTTGTGCATTATCCAAAGGAATTGAAATTAGATGAACCAAAGAAAAAAATGACAAAAAATAAACAAAAGAAAAAAAATAAAATTCATGATGGATTATTACAAGTTGATGAAGAATCAATCAAAGGAACATGGCCACGAGGAACATGTTCTCGTCATAGATTTCTCAATAATAGATGTTTTTTACATCCAGAAATACAACAAGATTCAATTAAAAATGTTGATCTGAGCAGTACCACTGGATGACATTTCAATAGAATCAAAATAAAATTATAAAACTAACTCCTTCTTTTGTTTTCAAAATTTTAATTTATAAATTGATAAGAAATATTTGTAGACAATATGTTTTATGAACTTTAACAAACGAAATAAAAGAGTATGGTTGCAAATGCCATTTAAACTAAACAAAAATCTTTTTCATATTTATATACACTGAGAATTTTTATTAAATAAATAAATAGAATTAAAAAGAAAATTATTCTCAAAGGTTATTCTTCTAACCATGAAATAACTTCATAAAGAAATAAATCCATAATAAGACATATATGATTTTTTATGTGACACGACACTTTTGTAACTAAAAATTCAAATGATTTTTCTTATTTGTTGGTTAAAAAAGGGAAAAATATTTTTTATTTTTTTTCTTAGTTGTCTCTCTTTCAGATGCGCATCTTAAATTTGTTACTCTAAACTGATGTAATATATTCATTCTTTCTATTTTTTTGTTTAAAAGAGCATATCAATATGTAGTGCATGACTGAGTCGTTTTCTTTAACTAACTTTTCTTTTTAATTACATATAGAAATATTTCTATAGTTCGCTATTTATTTTTCACGAGCTTTTCGAACCGTTGAACTTTTCATTCTTTTTCTCTGGTGAAAAGGTAACTACTCATAGAAATGGACTCGATCATGCATCGCCTTTTTACAAACTCTCACATACAAAAAAACAAATAAAATATATTATATTCTACCAGTTATGACTAACAAGTTTGAGATGACAAATCGAATATTTTCAAACTCATATCCCTATGAAATATCGTTGCATCGAGATGAACTAATTTTTGTAGAGAAGGCGAGACATTAACATCTGAACAACAACATTTGAGAATTACGTGGTCAGCTCATCTTATCAATTTATTATTGAATCAATTTTGTTTGTTAAT